GGGAGTTCAAGATGCCACTCTGTCTAATATTCATTGATTTAAAGAAGGCCTTTGATTCTGTTGAGACTAAAGCATTCATAGAGGCCCTAGCCAAACAGAGCATTCAAAGTCAATACATCAGGATCCTCCCTGAGCTGTAGTGCGGATTCACTACCAGGATCTACCATTCTACAGGGAGGTGATCATTGATGTCAAGAGAGGGGTTGAGCAGGGTGATACCATTTCACTGAAACTCTTCAGTGCCACCCTCGAGAAAGTCATGTGATGACTGGAATGGGAAGGAATGGGAGTGAAGATAGACAGTCGGCAACTACACCAGCTCCACTTTGCTGATGACAACATTCTAATAACACCAAACATTAGCCAAGGAGCACAAATGCTGGCCGACTTTGACCGTGAGTGTGGAAAAGTCAGACTACAGATGAATCTCAGACAATGTTTATGAGAAACATTCTCGTTTTTGACATTCCATTCGCTCTCAATGGGACGAACATCCAGAATACAGCAGTTATGTGTACCTAGGTCGAGAAGTCAACATGATGAATGACTGGCACCTGAGTTGCACAGGAGGAAGAGAACAGCTTGGAATGCCTTCAAGAGCATCGAAGAAATAGCTAAGAGGACAAAGAACCTCCGGCACTTTTCTTCCTCCATTAACATCTGCCTCAGAGAGCTGGGCCCACAAAAACAGGATGAGAACGCTATTCAGGTCTCCCAAAGAGGAATCGAAAGAGCTATGCTTGGAGTAACCTGCTTCACTCAAATGAGAGAAAGAATCTGGAGTTCCAACCTTCGTCAATTGTCAAGAATCAGGGATGCTGTCTTGTTTGCCAAGGCTTTGAAAATCAGATGGGCTGGACACATAACAGGACCCAGAAACAGAGATCCTCTGCCTGCTTCCACCAATCTCAGGCGACCCAGGGATCACACCCAGAAGCCCCACCCTGGCGGTGCCAGATAAATACCTCATTGGCCGACCCCCACTACCTCTACTACCTCCACTACCCAGCCACCGCCACACTCCTGGCTGCTTTTTGGACACATCATAAGACACTTAATACCCATCTTCAAAGAGTACCACACCATATTTGATGGGGGGTCAAATATGGTGTGAACCATGGGAACACCTATAAGGGTAAATAGAAACCTCCCTAAAAGCCTACATCCCTCTGCATTAAGAAGGATGAGCAAGAAGAGGCTGATAAAATCTCAGGGCCGAACTAGGCTGCCAATACGAAGAAGGACAAAAATGACTGTCTGTACTTTCAATGCACGTATGCTTGCATCACATGCATCCATCGAGGACCTGATGGTGCAAGCGCAGAAAATCAAGTACGACATCATTGGTCTAACCGAGACGAGAAGGCATCAACCACATCACACCACTTTTGACACTGGAGAAGAACTATTCCTCAGAACATGCTACAAAAGAGGCGTCAGTGATGTTGGTGTCTTCATCAACATGAACTTGGCCATGAGCATTGATTCATTCGAATGCCTAACATGCCAAATCAGATGCTTATGCTTGAATAAATGTGGCTCACTGCCAGAAGTTTCTATCTCCATCCTCTACACACCAACATCCAACTATGATGAAGAAGAAATTGAGAAATTCTACTTGGAGCTGGAGAAGTTCTATAAAGAAGACCACACCTTCTACAAGATCGTTGTCGGTGATTTTAATGCCAATATAGGACCGAGAAAATCACCCAAAGAACTCCACATCAGGACCCAGGGCGTAGAATGGAACGAACAGGGTGAGAGACTGTCTGAGTTCATCATGTCAATCAAAATCATCCATGGCAACTCACAGTTCCAGAAGGCCGAATCTATGCTTTGAACTTCTATAATAAATTATATAAAATATTAACAATATATTTTATGATACATTTTAATAAAGACAATACAGTACTTAATAAGTCTATGGAAGAATGAGGGAAAGAGGGAAAGAAGAAAGGGAGGAAGGAAGGAAGGAAGGAAGGAAGGAAGGAAGGAAGGGAAGGAGGGAGGGAGGGAGGGAGGAAGGAAGGAAGGAAGGAAGGAAGGAAGGAAGGAAGGAAGGAAGGAAGGAAGGAAGGAAGGAAGGAAGCTGTCAAAATCCTGAGAATATAAAACTCTAAGAGGTAAACTTAAGGTATATTCTGAAATTTAAGCGGCCAACATGGCCGACCCGAGTTCATTTCCTCCACCCCACTCAGAGAGCCCAGCAAGCTACCGAGAGTATCTCGCCCGCACGCAAAGCCTGGCAAGCTCCCCGTGACGTATTGGATATGCCAAACACAGTAACAACAAGTCTCACGATGGAGACGTTACTGGGCCCGCTCGAGCAAATCAATGAACAACGGGAGGACCGTGACCGTGACCGTGATGTCTGTGTAGGTTCATGTATTATGACAAATACACAAGTTTGATGTAGAATGTAGGGAACATGCTATGTGTGTGAACAGAATATATAATAAATCTCTGTACTTTTTTATGTAGAAGTTCAGCCACTGATTAGGCTGATTGAAGCAGGCATGAACTCTGCATTAGTTTTTTTAATTTAAATTTTTTTTAATTTTTCATAAAGTTATTTACTTTCAATATTTCAATGCCAATCCCACCACCAATGCACCTTCCCACCACCATTATTTTGAATCTTCTCACCACCACCCCAGCCTGCCCCTTAGGCAGATGCTAAATAATTTATTTTGTACTGCTTCCCATGAATACTATGAGGTGGCCATACACTCCTAGAATTCTAAAATTTTTAAATACTCGAAGTCTGGAGGCATCTCTGCAGCATGTTGCTCTCTTCTGAAATTCATTTGTGAGTCTCTGAATCATGGCTCTTAATGTGCTTAAATGGTGCCCAAAATTAGTTCCTGGATGTGACTGGCAGGAACCAAAAGGGCAGGAAGAAAGGGAGAGGTTGCCTATTCCCTACTCTGTGAAGCCTGGATTTTTCAGTCACTGGTTCCACATACCTGGGTTTTTCATCGGGTTCATTCTCATGCTTGGGGGTCTCAGAATAAGCCTTGAAGGTCTGCTATGAGTGTGGCGGTGATTGGGTTCTGGAATTTTGCGGCTGCTGGGGTTCATTTGAGGCAGGTAGACACACCTGCCCCTCTCTGAAGTGGCTGGCACAGGGTGGTGAGACATCTCTGTAACGTACTGCTGTGTTCTGAGACTCATTTGTGAGTCTCTGAGTCATGGCCATTAATGCGCCTAAATGGCTTGCTTATGACCTCTTTAAGATTTATTTATGGATCTCAAAAGCAAGGCTGATAAATAGCTGAGCTGGAGGTGGTTTGTGGGTGTGCCTAACTTTTGGCCATTTAATTTCTCAAAAAACTTGGTCCCAAGTTGTTGGTATCTAGCCAGAGGCACAGCGACAATTTTGGGGTATTAGGAAGCCTGAACGCACCATCAGGCTGCTGATGCACTGACCCCTAAGGTACAGGATGGCCTGGTAGGCAGCACCATACCCCCTCTCTATATTTTCTACTCAACTTTTCTGTGAGCCTAAAAAGAACTATTTTTTTAAGTAAACTTTATGTTACTTCACATTTTCCTCTCATTTCTTCCTGCAGCACTTAGAATATTGAAAATAGGACAAACAATTGTCAAAGCTAAGCCAGCATAATAAGATAGTAGAAAAAGTAAGACTATCCTAATGCATTTTAATTCAATATCTATTTCCCATTCTTCTCCTTCATCCATATTATCAGCCTTTGCTGTCTTGCCTCTTTGATCCCCCACATACAACCTTCATATTTAGGAACAAAGAGAAAAATAAAAGTGTTTCACAATGTTATTATATATTCCAGCTACTATTGCTGCCAAAATTTAGGGGTATAAAATGACTTTTTTTTTAAATTATGGATTTAGTGGGTTAAGAACTCAGACAGGAGAAGACTTTTTATGTTTCCTAATGTCAGAGACTTCAACAAGGAAAACTAAGTCTGGGATGATCTGACAATTGAAAGCTGGAATATCAGGGAGTTTCTTCTCTATATCTGAACGTCAATGCTCTTTATCATCAAGAACCTCAGCTTGCTTTCAGTCAAAATACAGATCCTTGAATTCCCCACTGGTATCACTGTGTCAGCTGGTTTGGGGCTTTCTAATGGGGTGAGGGGGAGGGAATGGCTATTTTTTTAGGAGAACACAGCCCAAAAGAGCAAAAGGAATGTGTATCACTTTCTCAGGATCTAACCCTGAAAGTCACATAGTATCACTTTCATATTCTACTGGTCAAAAAGGTCACAAAGTTCTGTCAGAGTCACAGGAAAGAACAATGACCTGATGCAAAAAATGGAAAGGAATATCAAAGGTAACAACAGAAGCACATACCTAATCCTATATTGTTGCAATCGTTTGGAAAATAAAATCTGCCACACTGGCTCTTGTTATGTTTTCTTTTACCTTAAATATCTAGGTGTGTTTTGCATTTCACTGTGTGGCAATGCTGTGTTCCACATCTTTATTTCTAATTCTGTATTTCAGATACTAAAGTGCACAATGGCAGGGACAGCTGTGTTGGGTTCATTTTCATGAACTGTACATAACTCCTTGTACTTGACAATCATCATAGATAACATTAGCAGTTCTAAAGTTGCTGATAGATATTTGTGCTTGAGTGATGATTTTTCCTTTTCTTTAACATGTTACAGAAAATATGCATACCAGTCAAAAACAAACAAACAAACATGTCGTGTCTTTAATGTTCAAGTGATTTTTACTATTCCGGTTGGTCTTGGTCGCTTGAGAGTGAAAAGTATGTAACTTCTCCCAAATGTACTGATACTTTCAAAGCAGTCATTAAATATGAGATGAGGTATTGGAGAGTAGAAAAGCACTACTCTGAAGGAAGTAATATTTTTACCTCCAAATATTGGCATTTTTGACTTACTAAAGTATTTTTAAAGGTTTATATTGATCATCTGTGTAAGATTTGGATCATAAATGGTTCTCTCTTCTGAAGAGTTGACTAATGAATGTAATTGTCCCTTTTTCAGTTGATTTCATAGGTGGCTTTGACTCTTATGGCTATCAGGGCCCTCAGAAGACATCTCATTTACAACTTCAGCCTATGTACATGTAAGTACTTTGGAAATATTCTTCTGCCGTGCTGAAAAATGATTCAGACAAAATAGATGGCATGCAACTTTCCTTCAATTATATTCTCCAATTGTTTCATATCAATTAGTATTATCTTGAATTGACTAATTCAAATAATATTCTCTTCATGATTTTTAAATTTAACTTATCAGAAACACCATCTCTAGAATGACCATGAGTCTTACAACTCTGAGTCAATTCAGAGATCAAAAGCTTACATAATGTAATTTGAATTCCCACAATGTAGTATATTTTGAAGGTGATGTATCATTTTAAATTGTTGTATGTAGCTATAGATAACCATGACCATATGTTATGGTGTTCAAAGATAGTCTCAATTTACACTGGTTGCCCTAGTCTAGTTATTACCGTATGCCCTTCTACTCTCAAAGTGTTCTCATTCAGATGATAAATGTTCATTATCACCTTAGTCCTATATAATGTTTTTAAAATTATAAACATTAGCAATATACTCTATCTATAATATTTAATATGAAAAGTAAAACTAAAAATCAGAATTTTAATACTGAAAATTTTCAGACCCTTAACTCTAGAACTCAAAAGAGCAGACATACAATCAGAGCCTGATTTTTATATCTGTGTTTAGGCAAATTCCCTTGGATAACAACTGATAACAAATTCTATATATCAGCATCAAGTGATATGCTGAATTGCAAGCGAAGATCAAAATAGAAAGTAAGATTCCAATTCATTTTGAAATGTGAGCTTCTCTCTTTGAAGATATGTGTTTGTCTTCGTTGTCCTCCACCATTGAATCATTTTACTTTTTAATATTGTTAGTTGAATAGGATGATAAATGGATTTTAAGAGTATTTCTCCTACAAAGAGATTAAAGTAATCTTTAGACATCCCTTTTAAGCTTTTCTTTAAAAGAGAGTGATCTGTGCATTATGCCTGCATTTCTCTTTGTGTTCCTTGTAGTTACCTGAAAGCACTTGCTAAAACCAGTTGTCAAATAGGAAATCAATAAATAATACATTTTGTACAGAGAATTCACTATGTAAACAATACATCACATTCCCTCTTTTACATCTCCAAAACAACTGCCCTAATTTAGGTATTCATGACCTGTTATCTTTTAAGTTTTCTGATTTCCTAGACCCTTATGCTATCTTATTAGTGGCTGCCAAATTAACCTTCCCAAGGCACCACTCTGATAATTTTCTTCCCTGCCCCAATCTATGAATGACTCCCTATTACCTAATGAAAACAGTCCAAATTCTTTATTCTCGCCTACTAAGTCTACTCTAAGAGACACTATGTTATATTAAAATATTACCTCTTCTCCAGGATGGAGAAAATAGCACTTGCCTCGCACATGGTTGACCCTTGATCTATCCCTTGCACTGCATATGCTCCCTCAAGCATCACCAAAAGTGAGCCCTGAGCATATAGCCAGAAGTAAGTCCTGAGCACAACCAGGCATGGCCCAAGAATTTAAGAAAATTAAAATAAATATTACCCTTCTGCTCTTAATTATTTTATTCCCAACCATATTCCCAATCAATGAATGACACTAGGAAGATGTCATAAAGAATCAAAGTGTAATAAAAGAATAAAAAGTGGCCCCGTCTTCCTAATGTTTATAGGTTGTTGAAAGCATGATTGCCTGATAACTTCCTTAGCATTTTTTTTCCAAATTAAATTTTTAGCCTTTAAAATTCCTCTCTTTTAAACTCCATCAGCCTCCAAATTTTGTCTTAAAATACATTTAATTCACAAATATTTCTTAATTTCTTTTCTTTGAATAGTTCTCTTTTTTTAAAAAAAATCTACCCTGTGCTGATTTTTTAATACTGTACTTGCCTATCCTTCAAGAAAGACTTGGTAGGTTTTTAAGACAGAATGATAAATAATTTGAATATTTTACTCTTCTCAATACAGTAACAATCTCATCTAAAATATTATATGATACACTAAAGGCAGACAGTATAGAAATGTGTCTAAGATGACCTAATGCAGACTGATAAAATTCTTTCATGACTTTGGTCATTACTTTATTTGAATAGCTCTTTATTCTCATCATATATAACTTTCCTCATCTGCAAAATAGAGATGGTAACAAGCTTTGTTTTTTCTGAACATATATGAAATAGGGGATGTAAAACATACAATTTATTATTAGAAACAATGCTTACTTACATTAGTCAGTATTATTCAAGAAAATACTTATCATGTTAAAAACCAATACACACTTAATTCACTCTTAAATTGTTTTCTCTATAATTTGTCACATAATTGTATCAATGCAAGTAACAAGTAATAATAATTTTGTGCTAAGCTATAGGTCATAATTTCTGTGAAGTTTGCAATTGCTTGATTGCGCAATTCCACATAACATTTAAATAGCATAACATTTCATTGTATTGGTCAATATGGATGATCAATAAATATTATGAATGAATAATAAATTATTTTGTCTAATATGTAAGAACCGGCTATCATAATAACCTGAGAATAAGTAAAGTAAAAGTAAAGGCCCTCGGGTTGATCATCGATTTGCTCGAGCGGGCCCAGTAACGTCTCCATTGGAGACTTTGTTGTTACTGTGTCTGGCATATCGAACACTCTCGGTAGCTTGCCGGGCTCTCCGAGAGGGGCGGAGGAAACGAACTCGGGTCGGCCATGTTGGCTACGTGCAAGGCAGACGCCCTACCCGCTGTGCTATCGCTCCAGCCCTAATCATAAAGAGTAAAATATATTATTTCAGTTTGGGTACTTGTAATTCTAATGTCTTTAAAGAGGGCAGTTTGCAGGTTTACTAATTTTAATTTGTTAATTTGTTAAATTTAATTTGTCAATTAAATAAATTTAAATTGATTTTAAATTCTTTAAAGATAAAGCATCCAGCATTAAATTTGAAGATAAAATGTCCTATGACTTAATAAGAATATTTTATTGGTCAAACCCAAAGCATCAAAAGTGTTCTCCTATGCCAGAGCAATAGTACAGCATGTAGGACACTTGCCTTACACAAGCCCAACCCGGGTTTGTTCCTTATGTGCCACATAACGTCCTCTGAGTCTTGCCAGGAGTGATCACTCAGTGCAGAGGTGGGAGTAAAACCTGAGCACTGCCATGTATGGTCAAAAAAATAAATCTCCTCCAAATAAAGTTCGCCAACTGTCTGAGAATATTAAAATGATATGAATTTTCAAGTCTCATGCTCATGAAATAAGTATTTCATGAAATTAAAAATTTAAAAACTAGAAATGCTCAAGGTATGTAACAAATCACTAATCAAATACTACACTATCTCTTCCACAAAACATCCTTAAAGGACCTCAAATCACACTGTGATTTTATTTTACAGATGAGGAAACTGAGCCAGAAAAAGGAAGAGAAATGTCAAAGCACTGGTTAGTTACACAGTCCCATTATCAACCAGTTTCCCTGATCCTTTAATCCAGTGTCTTTACCAAATTATTAGATGGACTGTGCATTTTCTCTGGTCTAATAGTCCCTGATTTTTAATCTATTTAATTGTACTTTTCTACACTAACTTGTCTGCCATACTACCACATTGCCTGCCCTCCTCTCCACCCCCCTTATGCTGTCTTTTTATTTCCGGTTGATTTTTCTTGCTGTAGTGTTGAAGGAAGGTTTTTTTTTCAACTCTGTAACCCTCAAAATCAGTCATCTGAGAGCTAATTCCTACTCAAGTCCTGTGAAAAAACAAAATTGTCTCACTCGCAAACTTTTTGCCCTACTGAGAGGCAGAAATCCAAACATCTCCTATGTTAATGTCCTGTGGGGTTCACCCTTTCCTGTTAACTGCCACAAACATCTCATAGAGTTAAGCATAAGTTAGCATCATAGGCCAGTCCAAGCAATACAACAATATTATATAGCAACTGGAAATAAAAGCTGCTCCTTCCAAGGAAAGAAAATGCTTAAAAGTAATGCATGGTTTTAGTTGTGGGACTTCCATTATACTCAGCTAAACCTACTATGACTAATAACCTGGGCCAAATTTTGAAAACACCATCATAACCAACTTCCATTCATGGTTTTGTCTCAGTTTCAGTCGATGAACAGACAGTCCTCTTCTCTTTTCTTTTAGTTAAATTGGGTGGATGTCATCTACCTGAAATTCTTCAAATTATCCAAGTGAAAGGAAAGGTTTTCATTAACTTTTTTTTCTGGTAGTTTAGTTACCTCCTTTGAGACAAGTAATAGCTCTAAAATAGTCATACAAAAACACTCCCGTGTCTACAGGTTAATTTTCCAACAAAGTAGCTGCTTTTGCTACTGCTGATTTATGTGCTGTAATAAGCAGAGATCTGTTTGGGCTCCCTGCAGTACAAACTGTGCGAAGAGCTCATGGTATATTAGACATTTGAAAACATTGCATTCTTTGGCAACCAACTCATACAGCAAGACATAATTTATCCCCAGAAAATGGATTTTAAATTACTCTAAGCAGCCTCTTTATCCAGGAAACTGCGCTAAGAAAAAAGAAAAAGAGAGAGAAATTGTCTTTTTAAAATACAGTTTGGAAATTTGGACATTTGAGTTGAGGGGAGGGGTTGCTTTTTCAGAGAGTTGAGATATGGTACTTGATTATTAAACCTTTCTCTGTCTCTGTCTCTGTCTCTGTCTCTCTGTCTCTCTCTCCCCCCCCCCTCCCCCACCTCTCCTTCTCAGGTCAAAATAATACAGATGGCTTCATTATGTCAGCTCCTGGACTTTTCAAAGAACTTGTTTCCTACAATGGCCTCCTGCATTTTGTGAAGTATAAAAGCAACTGAGTTGGAATACATATATATATTTGAACAAAACAAGCCTAAAGTTTACACACACACACACACACACACACACACACACACACACACACACACACGGGCATACATGCCACGTCCACGGGCGCACACAAACACACACCAATTACACTTGCCCTCTTGTTTCTAACTGAAACAGATTAAAAAAAAAAAAAGAAAAAGAAAAATGCAGGAGCCAGGACACGCCCCTCTCGGATTTCCTGAAAGCGCGCTTCTTTCCTCCAGGTTCTTTGGAAAGTTCCTAAGGAGACGTGTTGGTGCCCTCTGCTGGTCATTACTAACTCCTCCGCAGCCCAGCTGTGAGCTGCCAAGTCATCCGGGCCACTTTAGCGGGAGAGCCCTGTCTTCAGCACGTACGTCTTGATAGCACCACAGCTCTGTAGGCAATGCAATTGCAAAACAAACAAAACATGCCGTGATGACCTTGTAGCCCAAGTGCGAAATGGCAGGTTGTTTGCCCTAAAGGCCGGACCGTACATACTTGCCTTAACCCACCTAAGTTGTGCCCCTGAGAAACTCAGTGCAGACATCCCCAACTCACTTCCTTTAGGCTAATACACTGCTATTAATTCCAAATGAGTTCAAATCTGTGTGTTTCGTGTCAAGGAACAAGACTGCATAGCTCAGCAGCTCCAATGCGTATGTACGAAAACTGCCAGTTGTCAGCAAAGTGCTTTACCATTGCGCCTCCATGGTGGCCAAAAAGAGGGAGAGAGAGAGAGAGGGAGAGAAGTAAGGACAACAATAATTGTCATCTCTAGAATTCTTAAATATAGTCTTCTGATGGAGTTGGGTAGGACAACATAAAATTTATTAATCTACTAAACTTATTAATCTACTGGAAACAGAGCAGAAATGGCTTAACTCACTGGTTTTATTTATTGCACTCTAGGTGCTTTTATAAGTATCTACAAATGTCTTTTACTAACACAGAAACAGCTGTGGATTTCTATCAACAGAGGCCAACTGAATATGTATTAGCTATGTTTACTCTTTTATATCTAATTCAAATTGAAGACCCTATGTAGGTGAACTTTTTTTCCTAACTTCAGCATATGAGATTATTTTTTGGGTGGGTGGGGGGGAGCAATAGTTAACTTGGTGAAATATTTGAAATCTCTTTGTGGTATTTGGGGGATCTGTTGTGTGTTAGAGTGTATTTAAATCCTCCTGTATTATCGTGGCAGAAAAACTGTGCTGTTAATGTAGTTGGCAACAAGATGCCTTTGGAAACTTAATAGTAGGTCAATGTGTTTATGAAATATTCCAAACTCCTAGGAAATTTTGTTCTATATATTCAAGCATTATTTGCTTTTCACTAGTGGAAAACATAATTAGCTCTGACTTGTCAGGAACTCAGATGAGTCATGTTTTTCCTTGGATCCACCTAATACACTAAAATAAATTTTTTTAGCTAGCACATTTTTAATGCAGTAAAATTCTTACAAAAAATTGGCATGAATCAACTTTATCTTAGTTTCTATGAAGTTTCAGTTACTGGGTGAATCTACCTTGAATCTTAGCCCATCCATAAATCAGTCCCATTGCTGTGTTTGCATGGATGTCTGTGATCTATACACATATGCATTTGAAAATGATAAAGGAACAAAGGTTACTATTGGAATATAAACCATCAAGCAAGATTCTAGCACTCGTGCTTGAATTTCCACAGTGGCTTCTATATGTTTGTCCATACATACATGTATAAAATTTGCAATTGCAAACATGTCAGTGAAACCTCACATGATGACTCAATAGTGACATGCATGTTTAACATATGAGAAAACTATTTACCACCGGATTGTTCTTTGATCCGTAAATATCAGTACTCTACATGCCAGAAACTATTCTAATGTTACCATTAATGTGAATACTACAATAAGGTTTCACTGTACATTCATGCTGTGATGAGATTTCACCTCCTAAAACATGTATGTGAATAGAGGCTTCGGTGCACAGAGAATAACTACGCCCTCATATTCCTGCTTTAAGTTGCAGCCAACTTACCACCTAATCACTATCATCACCACCTAAATTTTCGAAAACAGTTGTTGACTACTAAAAAGTAATCAGTGGACAGTTCTTTTTTGGGAGCAGTGAGCACAGTAGTATGATTATATCTGGAAAAACATCTCAGTTGTACAGCTGTATCCTCCTCAAAATCCGGTGAAGAATGCTATTTTTCTAGGCTGAACTTTTGTTATAAACCTAATATTCAGAAGGCAAGAGTTACAATCCTGATGTGTCTTTTTTTTTCATTTGTTAATTCTGAATGTATTTTTAACAGAGTGATTTTTTTGACTTACTAGTGTACTTTGCATTTTAAAAATAAATGGAAAAACAATTAAGCTTCTGAGTCATTCTTAAAAACCTCTGCTTCTTCTCAAAGTGTATGTGGTTATGACATTATTGAAGAGATCCTATTACATTGACATCCTATTACATTGACATGAAGGCAAGGCTGATATATGCCAAGCAGGGATGTGTCAGCCAGTAAAAAGGAGTTGGCAGGTCATGGCAGCATTTTAGCTCAGTCATAAGTAAACTTATGCTTCCCTTATCTCCCTCACACAAAGGTTCTTTTTCAAGACCTGCTGGACTTGCTGTCATTTAGAGAGTTTTCCCCCATCTGCTATCTGGAACAGAGTTGGCATTAGATGAATAGTTGGCAGAGGTGTTTGGTCACTCTATTTAAAACCTTTGATTACATATGTAGGGATTACCAGTTTTTATAGACCAATTGATTTTAGATCATTTAAAATATTCATTGCCTCTTCTGTGACATACATAGTTTTTAATCACAACAGTTATCTTTGGTTTACTAGAGAAGCAGAAAATATGCTAAATAAACAGAAAATTTGAACCAGTTGGCATTTCTGTGTCTATGGTGAAAATTTCACATCATATTCTGTCTATGGACTGAAGGGATACAGGGCTTTGACCTACTTATGGAAGTATGTCCTTCTCATGGCACAGATGTAGCTCAGCTCCCAGAAACCAAAAATTAAAATTGATTGAAAACAAGGAGGAGTTTGAGGAAATATTGAAAGAAGCTGAAGATCTGTTCATAGGCCTTGACTTCTGGGCCACATATTGAGAGCCTTGTCAATGATCAAGTCTGTATTTATTTCTTTTCTTGTAAAAAGTGATGCTGATGTGCTCACACTGCAGTGATTCACACCGTGAAATCAATCTCATACCACATTGTAGTTATATAAGGAAGGAGAACCAGAGGGTTAGAACAGCTGGTAGTGCATTTGCCTTGCATGGGGCCAATTTAGATTCAATTCCTGACAGTCCATATGATAACACTAGCACCGCCAGGAGTGATCTATGGGTCCCGAACCAGAAATGAGTTCATAGAACTTCCAGATGTGGTCCAAAATTTCTTTTTAAAAAGAGAGGGGGAGGGAGAAGGGGAAGATAAAGAGATAAGCGATAATCCAATATATTCTCTAAAGCATATATCAGATATATATATCAAAAAAGTGTTTTTTTGATAGTGCCAAGATCATCAGTTGGCAAACATTACAAACATAATAATCGCTGATGCCATAAAATAAATTTCTAATATACTGCTGCATTATAGTGTATGTATTTAAAATTAAATTCAGAAATATAAATTTTTCTAAATAGGTCACTTTGTAGAACAAACCTTTAAGATCCAAAACTTTTGCATCACAGAGATGATAAACTAAGGTTAACAAAGTTCAGAAATTACTCAATATTTATAAACATCCTGTAAATACAGTAGCTTTTCTACAACAAATTGATCAGAATGGGTTAATCCAATTTCCAAAGACTGTCCATGGTCTCAATACCAATATACAGTTTGTGCTTCTATGTACTCTCCAGATTTTCTGCAACAATAATACCATTGTACAATTTGAATAAAGTGAAATTTTGCAAAATCAAAAAAGGAAGATATTATAAGGTCATAAAATGCTTCCAATTATCAAAATGTTCAATATAATCTCATTATTGAATTTTTTTATTATAGTTCTTCTAAAAGTCAATAATTTGGGGGCCAGTATGTAATCACTTGCCTTGCAGGCAGCAAAACCAAGTTTGACACCTAGCACCCTACAAAGTCCCCTGGGCACAGCCAGGAGTGATCCCTGAGCACAGAGCCAGGACTAAGTCCTCAGAACCACCAGGTGTGGCTGCAAAACAGACAAAAAAGCGAAAAAAAAAATCAACAACTTACATCCATATATAAAGATATATATTTAGGTTAAATTTATATGATATGTTCTTTGATACTATGCAATCAATTATGACAGCTTTAGGTAATAAGTTTTTCTGTTATCTTTTGTAGTAACATAATATTTAAATACAAAAATTAAAATGATTATGAATACCTAATATTAGAGAGATTAAGATCATTCAAACAAGGCTGGAGCAATAGTACAGCAGGTAGGGCGCTTGCCGTGCACACAGCTAGCCAGGGTTCCCAGTATCCCACATTGTCCCCTGAGTTCTGCCAGGAGTGATTCCTGAGCATAGAAACAGTAGGAAGTACTGAGCACTACTGTGTGTGACCCTGAAAACAAACCAAAAAGATCAATTAATTGGTCCCATTTGAATACTTTCTTTATTTGTTCCCAAAAAAAAATCTCCTTTTGATATTTTAACTCTTTTTTGTACTTAGGACATTTTGCTATCAATAGCATTGCATTTGAAAAACAGAGACCAAGGGATCAAAAGACAAAACAGCTCATAAGGTACTTGCCTTGCATGCAACTGACCCAAGTTTGATCCCTAATACCCCAATAGCACATAGTGTCCCCTGAGCACCACTAGAAATAGCCACTGAGTGCAGAGTCAAAAAGAAGCCCTGAGCACATCCTAGGTAAAAAAGGTAAAGGCCCTCCCGTTGATCATTGATTTGCTCGAGCAGCCCCAGTAACATCTCCATTGGAGACTTTGTTGTTACTGTGTTTGGCATATCGAATACATCATGGGGAGCTTGCCAGGCACATCCTAAAAAAGCAAAAATGATTTTTTT